CGCTTCTTGGAGGTCGACAACTACTTGACTCTCTGGGGGTTCCGCGGTGCTTCTCAGCCTGCGGAACTGACTCTGTGCGAAGACAGCAAAGTTTACAGGCCTCCTAGCGGCCGAGATATTGATGCTGTTATTTCACATTTTGAGGTGAACAAACCAGGCCATGACAAGTTCCACGTGGTGATCGCCAACATGCACATCGTGTGCGGCAAGAAACCGCCGAGCATCCAGACTCGAAAGCGGACAGTTCGCCATCTCCGCTTGCACCTGGACGGCCTGGCCAAGATTCTTGAGAATCTAAACGAGGCAGTCGTTGTGCTTGTAGTCGGCGACGACAACCTCACTTTCCAGGAGGCGCGGGAGGCTTACCAGCGCGAGCAGAACGACGAGAAGGTATGGGAGGTCCATGCCACTCCGGCCGACCTCAAAGGCGACCACGTCGCGGTCTGCGGAGCAGTCGCCCGTTTCTGCTCCATTGCCGTTGGCGCGTCTTTTACGGATCGTGGCATGCGCAACGACGCACACGATGCGGTGGCGGTTGTGCTCACTCTCCCTGGTGCTATTCAGCCTGGGGAGAGCAAGAGGCGGAAAATTGTCGTCGAAAACGTCTCCGACGCCGACGTCAGCGTACAGGCGGACCGCGAGTCTTCTGTGCATTGGGATCGGTCGCCGAGTTCTGCTCCTCCGCTTTCACCGACTTCACCGGGTGATCCCGACTACGTCGAGGATGTCGTTCAGAATCGCGCGGACGACTTGCACAGGGAGCTGAGGAAGCTTTGGGACGACAGGTACGACGAGGAGTACGATCCGAAAGTCCTCCATCATCTCAGTCTCTTGCTTTTCAAAAAGAGGAAGTCCACGGAGCCAGCGGACACTGATCCAGCTGGCGCTCCTCAGCCTGGCTCGGAATATGACACGGCCTTTGCGTCTCAGGAGGAGACTGGCCGAGCCATTCTCTCTGTCCTTAAGCTTCGACATGACTTTCTGCGGAGCAAGAACATCGACGACATGCGCTACGTTCTCACGGAGCCTGAGCGCCAGGAATTGGTCAGAGTAGCTCGCGACCAGTACGAGCAGTCGCGGCAGCAGCGTGCGCTTCAGGAACGGGATATCGAAAAGGGAAAAGCGAAAGGCAAGTCTGCGCCACAAGGGGGCCATGCGGTTCCGCAGGGTCCGAACAAAGGGCCAGGCGGTAAGAAAGGTTCTCACGGTGCTTCTCAGCCTGCGGGAAAAGGTGGCCAGGCCAAGGGTGCAGGTCTGGGTAGCGTCGCCAAGTTTGTGAAAGACCAGAAGCGTAAGCGGTGGCATCGCCATTTGCAACGTGTGGCCGGTACTAAACAGATCTGGGAGGTGCTGGCCTTCTCAGGGCGCTTCGACGTTGATTGGTTAACGCAAGCGTTGCAAGCTGATCACAGTGAGGGCCGTGATGCAGCAGTTCCCGAGGAAGCTCTGCGGCAACAGCGGCGCCGGCTGCACCACCAGAAGGCCGAGGCCATCGCGCGCTACAACGAGGGGGAGCGGCTTTCCCTATATCTGTCTGCCCAGGCTGGCCAGGCAAAGCCGAACTTCACGCGCAGGCAGCAGGACGTGTTGCAGATGTTTGAGAGCGGAGCGCTGCTTCAAATCCGCAACCAAGCGATTCTGGCGTGCGGGCACGGCCGTCTGTTCAGGGGCGATGGCGACTACCTGGACATCGGCGGCAGCACGGGCGGTGGCTCCAGGCGCATCATCGATTCTTGGCAGCCGCCGGACTGGCGTGACTTCCTCCAAGACGATCAGGACATCTGAGTTTTGCAAGTCTCTCTGCCCGCGGTGCTTCTCAGCCTGCGGTCTGCCGCTCTCCAGCTGCGGTCTCGAGCAGTAGTGTTCGAAAGCATGCGAGTTCCTGCGGTGCTTCTCAGCCTGCAGGTTTCGCAGCCTGCGCTCTGCAGTACAAGTGCTTTTCAGCATGCGACATCCTGCGGTGCTTCTCAGCCTGCAGGGTTCGCAACGTGCGGTTTGCAATGCATTCCTTTTCAGTATGCGAGTTCCTGCGGTGTTTCTCAGGCTGCAGGGCTCCGAGGCTCTTCGCTTCGATGCCATTGTTTTCAGACACCGTAGCTCCGTTCCGTAAACGTCTTCCAAGAGCCGCTCGCAACCTTTTGCAGCTGGCTGTCTGCACGCTTCGCCGGCTTTTGCTGCGCGGACACTTTTCACACACACGTCAGCGCCGTTTGTAGGCGTCAGAAAAACATGTAGACATTCACGAAGGGCTCAGTCTGTATATCGTCACATCATTACATACGCAGTCGTCGAACACATCGGTGTACATTCAGCGCTTTGTCCTTCTAGCTGGGTTGCTTCGTGCTGAGGCTGAGGCTGATGCAGGCTGAGGCTGAGGCAGGCTGAGGCTGAGGCCGAGGCTGACGGCAGACTGAGGCTGAGGCTGAAGCAGGCTGAGGCTGAGGCAGAGGCAGGCTGAGGCTGAGGCTGAGGCTGAGCTGAGGCAGGCTGATGCTGAGGCAGGCTGAGGCTGAGGCTGAGGCTGAGGCTGAGGCTGATGCAGGCTGAGGCAGTCTGAGGCTGAGGCCGAAGCTGAAGGCAGACTGATGCTGAGGATGAAGCAGGCTGAGGCTGAGGCTGAGGCAGGCTGAGGCTGAGGCAGGCTGAGGCTGAGGCTGAGGCAGGCTGAGGCTGAGGCTGTGACTGCGACTGCCGTTGCCACTGCGACTGTCATCGCGAATGCGACTACGACTGCGAGAACAGCAGAACTCTACAACTGGATTCTCATTTGAATCTTAAGGGGAATGCTTCCAGATATGCTCCTACACATCGCTGTTAGGTTGCTTTGCCGGGATAATTTGGTGTACCCCCGTCGGGACCCGAACTATCGCCTCTTGGAGCCCTCTTGGGCCGCTGTTGGGCGCCTGTTGGGCGCTCTTGGGGCCGTCTTGGGGCCCTCTTGGGCCGCATTGGCCGCCTCTTGGGCCGTCTTGGGGCCCTCTTGGGCCCTCTTGGAGCCGTCTTGGGAGCCTCTTGGGCCGCCTTGGGGCGGTCTTCCGGGCCTTTGGGGCTGTTTTGGAGCGTCGGGAAGCTGAAAGGGCGGGAACGCTAAAATGTTTCGCCGCTTGGGCCGTCTTGGGGCCCTCTTGGGCCGTCTTGGAGCCGTCTTGGGAGCCTATTGGGCCGTCTTGGGGCGGTCTTGCATGCCTTTTGGGCTGTCTTGGAGCGTCGGGAAGCCGAAAGGGCAGGAACGCTGCGCCCACGGAAAATCAATGGTTTGGGCTTCTTGGGGCCCTCTTAGGGCGCTTCTCGGGGCTCTCTTGGAGCGTCTTGGGGACCTCTTGGGCCGTCTTAGCTTCTCGGGGGGGTCCTCGGGAGGCTCCGCGGCCACTTGGAGCCGTGTTGTGGCGGTCTTGGAGCCGCTTGGGGCTCTCTTGAGCCGCTCTTGGGCGCCACTTGGGCGCTCTTGGGGCCGTCTTGGGGCCCTCTTGGGCCGTACTGGCCGCCGCTTGGGCCGTCTTGGGGCCCTCGAGGGCCGTCTTGGAGCCGTCTTGGGAGCGCTCTTGGGGGCCTTGGGAGCGCTCTTGGGGCCATCTTGGAGGAGATCGGTCAAAGAAGACGAAAACACTTATTTGCCCCCCCCCCTGGGGCCACGATCCCTGTGAGGGGTGTCAAAAAATGAGCATCCCAGGGACCGACAAAGGACGCCCCAGCGACCCGCGCCCCCCCCTCTCCAGGCCCAGGGGGAGGGGGGTAGGGGGAGGGGTAAACCCCTCCCCGAAGGGGAAGAAGGGGGTTGAGAACAGAGAGGACTATCTAAACCACCCACGCCCTAAAGGGCTGGTGGGATTTTGTGGTTCCAGGGGATCGGCATGTAGATCTGATTCTGCTAGATCCGTTTCCAGCCCAGATACAGACGTCCAGATAGACATCTGACAGACATTTGTCCAGCCGGGGGTAGAGATCCCGCAGTGTCTGCCTACTGCTAAGGCGCCTTGTGACCGTCCAATGGGGGTGGCGTCGCCGGGTGCAGGTTCCAGAGCACACACATGTTTTGATGTGAAGTCGGTTGCAGCGACTGGTGTCTGCCTCAGCTTGGGCAGCGAAGTCCCGAAGCAAACCCACGCACATCTGTCTGTGCCTCCTGGGCTCACGGTGTGCTCACACAAAGCAGCATGCGCAGCCGAATGTTGAGCATGTAGTGTAGGACACGTGGTGAGGCCAGCGCACCGCGGACGTTGCCAAGCGCGAAGCATGTGCTCGCACCCCAGAAAGACACCACACACTTGACCACCACCAGGTGGAGGCAGACTTTCTGGATGGGTGCCGCGGCTTGCGTTGGCATTTTCGTGGAAGGCCCACGCTCGAGCGCCAGCCTGGAAGTCCGCCGAAATCTCCCCACCACCGTTTGAGCATCCCGCTTGCCAGGAATTCCCACGGGTGCCGCCGTCGGGTGTTTGGGTTTCGTGGCGGGTCATCGCGTGCGAGTTTTCGTGCCGCCGCGTGTATTTGCGACCGCGCCCATGGTCGGCGGTTACAGGTATGAATGCTTGCGACTCTATGGTCCTGCAGTCAGTTGAGTGATGGCCACCTTTCGGAAGTAGGTGTTCTCGCGATGAGCATCCTAAATCCGTGTTGGAAGATCCCATGGGTTGTGCAGGGTCCGATGAGCGTCTTGGCGGGGCTCGGAGGTGCCGTTGGGGATACTGAGTTGTACAGGATGCCTCCAAGAGCGGCCTTGAAATAGCATTGAGGATCGGGGTTCGTGCTGGAGTTCCCGTAGTACCCGGGGGCCCAGGCATCACATCGAAGCGAGATATCGAACAGTCATGCAGCTCTTGTGTGAAGTTGTGGGCGGTGGCAGAGGATCAAGCATACCAACGCAGGGTGCCGATTCAAATGCGTTGTTGGCGTCGGAGTCGCCGACCGTTGCAAAGGGATGTTTGTTTTAGCACCATACCCACAATTCAATAGTTGCTTGTTTCGATTTCGTTTATATTCAGATCCAGCGTGCTTGCCAGGAGAAGGAGCGTGTCCTCCTCGCCTTGACGAGTTCGGTGCCTTGCCCGTAGCATGGAACGATGAGTTCCCAGCCTAAGTGTGCCGTCAGTCATCCCTTGCTGTCCTTTCCTCAGTATTACAATTTTCTCTACCAGTTCCCCCCCCCGTCTGGTCGTTCCGAGTCCTTCCTCCAGCATGTTCTGACCTGACCACCTCAGCACCGCCACCTCTCTCGCCTTGCCATTGCATTGGCATGCGGCTTTGAGCTCCCAGAATGAGGTCTGGAAGGGCGAGGAGGAGGGACGGGAAAAGCACAGAGGTGAAGTAAGATGTTGTTATCTTGTTTGAGTTGTTGGCCAGCGACATGTGCACATCGAGTGCCAGAACCACGTCTATTGCTTGAGTCTTTGGACACGGGTGTCGAAAGCTGCGCTACAACCTTTTGACGAGGAGGGGACGCACAGTGACTATCCTGCTTCGCTCGCCTGTGCCGTCCAGGTGCTGGACGAGATGTCGACAAGTGCCAGCAGCAGGCTCGCGTGCCGTTCTGCTGCGCGCTGTCTGAGTGGGTGTCATCTTACAGTCGGAGCCCGGAAGAAGGAACCCTTTTCGTTGGAGAGGGGCTCGGAGTTCCTTGATCGTTTCGCAGCTTGCCTGCAGTTTTCCTGAGGTTTTCGATATAGGACATCGAAGGTTAACTTATGAGAAAAAGGGGCCTCGTTCCTTATTTAGGGTTCCTTAGGTCAACGCCCCGACTGTAGCTGTCCGCAGTTTGTCGGATGACGGTTATCTCGATGCAGTCAACATGTTGAAGTGAGGACCCGGGGTGGGGCGTTGTTATGCAGTCGGGCGGGGTGCGCAACATGGTTTTGGCTGACACGGGGCAGCGTTGACCCTGATTAGCGCGTCCCCGATTGCAGCCTTCACTGCAGAGCAAGGGGACCCGGAGCAGAGGTGAAGGGGAGCAGGCTCATTTGTGATGCCGATGCTTTCTTCAAAGACCATTTCTGGACCTGTCCCGTGGTGCAATACGTTCAGGCATATCCGCGAGCGCCGATGATTCCTTGGCCCAACGCGCCAGTTACGGCATCGAAGGAACGTAAGATGTTGATTATGATGATTTGGATTCGCGTATAGACAGAGGTCTCGGCCGAAGCCGTCGTTCTTGACAGAAGAGATTGTTGAGAGTTCCTTTGGGAAGTGGGCGCGGCGGCGAGCATCAGATGTCGCAGCTCGCCCTACTCGTCGATTTCGACGCCCTCTGTGGCCGTACTTCTGACACAATTCCTGGGTGGTTCAATCGGGCCCACTCCTGCTCAAATGGGCCCAATCCTCCTCAATCCGGCTTCAGACAGTTTTTCTTGTTGGCCCATGGTTGCGCTCAGGGTTAATTTGGCTCAATGACCCCTTGGTCGAACTTAGCAGCCCTCTGTCGTTCTTTCCCAGGAGTTGCCTCGTGAGCCTGCCTCATCTGTCAATCCTCCTGCATCGGAGCTCAGCGTGGGCGGCTCGGTAAGCTGACGAGGTCCGAGGCAGTGGTCTGGCCCGATATTCCCTTTTGATTTCAACGATTTCGGGATCCTTGCTTTCCTGACCTCTAAGCCCAAATTGGAGCATCTTGAGAGGCAGTATTCCGCATACCCACCGTCTCCTGAACATCCTTAGTATCCTCGGAGGATGGCCGGCCCCTCCCGCAGCCAGATAAGAGTGTAGTTTGCATTTCTCCCACACCCTTCGCCTTCGCGGCCGTGCCTTTGCTTCGAGACGCAATAGGTCGTGATAATCCAACAGTTCCAGCGTTTCGTCGTTTCTTTGGTGTCCCACACGGGCAGACGGGCAGCAGAAACGAGGGCCGCCAGATGCTCCAGAATCCCTGATCCTGACCCTCTCGCATCATGACATCATCCTCGCTCCCCTGAGATCTGCGGACCTGTCGGCCTCGCACGGGGGACGTCCAAGGCCGCAGGCGGCTGCGAGCTCATGTTGGTTCCCAGGCTTCAGATGTACGGGGAACCAGCGCGACGGAGGCTTCCCGCCGCCTCTGGCCTCTGCGGGCCCCTCGGGCCGTCACAAAGAACGACTCAGGGGGAAACGTCGGCCTCTCTCGAAAGATGGAGCCTTCTGTGGATCCCGTCTTGACAAAATCAAGAGAACTCCTGCCTTCTGAAAAGCTTTCTGAGCTCTCCCCGAAGCCACACAGAGGGCCTCTCATCGGCTACACGTGAGAGTGACCCTTTGCCGGAGTGACCTTTTGTGTTTGCCCTCTGGAGTTCCACAATCGACGAATTCGATGTGAAACCAGTGGCTTGTGCTCTCGGATTTTTGGCGCTTTGACCACCCGCGCTCCCCCAAAGCCGCGCACCAAAGGTAACTCCTGCCTACAGTCAACCCGCATAGTAAGGATGGGCGATATGCCAAAGGGTACCTTGCATCCTTGCCTCCTCGGTCCATCCTTGGCCACTTACGCTGGCCACGCCCCGCTCGAAAAGCTTCGACTGTGCATCCTTAGTGTGCATCCTTCTGATACCGGTCGGCTGTAGGGCCACTCTTGCGCGCAGCCGATCTCGGGTGGTCGGAGAGCTTGTGAGAAACCTTGCCGCCTTATGAGAGGGCCCGCCCCCTCTCGCTGCCCCCCCATCAGAGGATTTTGCTTTCTGATTTGCGCGACCCGTACCCTTCGTTACGGCGGGGTTCCCCCTGTAGCGGGATCGCCGCGCAGACTTCGCGCGCCAGGAATGCCAGCAAGACCTTGTAGAGAGTTACCCGAGACGTACCCAGACCTCCAACGTATTGTAGAAATCTAAACATCGGTTTTTACATGTTCGGCCTCTGGGGGCCTTCGCCAGGCCACGGGACCGTCGAAAAACGAGTCAGGATGAAAGCCAGTCCCTGGGAAGGGTTCGAGACTTCCGTTGACCCTGTAATGAACAAATCAAAACATAGGATCTCTGGATACCCAGCCCTTTCTCCATGCGAGACGACTAGTCAATGAACGTCCCATTCGGGAGAGCACAGTGCAATATATGCGGCACTCTGAAATGTTTCGCCCAGCAATGTTGGACCACGCGCTCCCACACCTGCGCAACTCAGATCGCAAAAGGGACGGCGACGGCAAATTCGACAAGGAACATGTAACGGTCAATAGAGGTTCAGGATGATGACGAGGAGGAGGAGGAGGAAGCGGGAGGGGGGCGTCAAGGATAGAGACGGAACTGGGATTCAGGTTCGTGAGAATGACAACGCCATGCACTGCATGTGCTCGGTCCACCCTTGCTACTGTTGCCGCTGTGGGCGACAGGCGTCTACGGAGGCAGAGGGGAAGTTGGCCAGTGGGGACACCGCCGTGCGCTACTTGACGCTCAAGCGCTCTGCGCTCTGTGATGAAACAGCGTGGCGCGCTGAATGACCGGACGGCTCCACGCGCCATGCGGACACGCGCCATGTGGCCGCCTTGCAGTCCGCCGTGCCCCTTATCAAACCACGAAGGTGGCGATTGTTGCGCAGCCCGCATCCCCCGATGGAGCCGCGAAGTCTCAAGTGATCCGCGATGCCGTGCATTCCGCCGTGTCTCCCAGAGACCCACGGAAGTGGCGACGGTCAAGCGGGTCGCAGCCCTTGAAGGGGCCGCGAGGTCTCAAATGAGTTGCCTTGCCCCTGGCTCCGCCGTGCTTCCCGGGAACCCACGAAATTGGCGACAGTTGTTCAGTTCGCAGCCCCAGTGGGGCAGCGAAACTTCGATTGATTTGCGTTGCCCTCGATTTCGCCGTGCCGCCCAATGGCCACGAAAATGGCGACACTTTGGCAGTTCGCGCATTTCCCGAGGGCGCTGCGGGGTCTCGAATGACTTGCGGTGCCGTCGAATCCACCACGCCTCCCAGGAACTCGCGAAAGTGGCGGGGCTGGCGCACCTCGCAGTCCCCGGGGGGGCCGCGAGGTCTGAAATGATCTGCGTTGTCGTCGGTGCTGCCATGTTTCCAGGAACCCGATTAAACTGGCGACATTTGCGCAGCCCCAGCCCCCTCAAGCGGGCCACGCGGTCTCACATGATCGGCGTTGCCCTGGACCATTGTTCCCTCCAGGATTCTACGGCAATGCCGAGCGGCGGGCAGTTCGCAGCCTCCGGGGGATCGCAGGGAGCGCAAGTCGAAGGCGAAGAGGACAACAAAGAGAGAGCAGGAACAGAACGGGCGGAGGAAACCGTGGCGTTGCGACCGCATTGTTGTAAGCCCAACGAGAACTCAACATAACACGATTGGGAAAATAAGGCGGCGCTGGAGGTGGGAACCGGACGCGATGAGGAAACCATGAGCGGGAGGACGTGGAGGACAGAACGGGGGACGAAAACCACCGTGCTTGATTCAAAGCGAGGACCCAGTATCGGAAGAAGGACAAAACGCCAGGTCAGTATTCTGCGTATTCCACCTTGTTCTCGCCAAGGTGTTTCGACGGGAGTGGCAGACGAACTGACGGCGGACTTTTCCCCGGGGGCGGATCGCTCGGATATGTAGTGGAACCCTTTGGCGGCACCTTTGATGCCGCCTGGCGCGTTCCGCGCGCGAGGGATCGGGGGCCCCAAGCGGGGTGGTGACCATCCCGCATGGTGGGTCAGTGGGGATTCGAGGTCATTTCGCGGTTTTGTGACTTCAGTTGTCCTCTGCGGATGTCTCGGGCGATTCGGGCCCCCGATGATCCAATGCCGTTCGGTGACGGAAAGCGTGTGACTTCGTCAGGGATGCCGAGTTTACCACACACACACACACACACACTCCGTCACCACACGGGAAACGGGGCCAGCGCAGCTTCAAACAGTCCGCGAATTGTTGATTGTTTTTTCCCAACGCTCCTGTGTTGCGCAACGGTCGCAGCCCGACGGGGCTGTGGGAGAGACTCTTGCCTTGTGGTTGGCCAACCACAGTAGGTGCGGGCCCGCTGTGCCACCCCTGCGTGGCCCGATGGGGTTCCCCGACGGGGTCCCCCGACGGGGGAGTCACGGGAGTTAATGTCGTCGGACAGTGGGATGTCCGTTGCTTGGGGTCGACGGCCAAGTGTGGGTGGTGCCGGTGGCCGTGTTTCGGGGTGGCTTCTCGCGGTATCGCCCAACGGCGGCGCAGATGTGACGCCATTAATGTTGCGAGGTCCGACTGCATGTGGATTCGCGCAGGCACCTCGGTCACTTCCCTTCGGGTTGTGTCGCCCGTGTTTTATCCAGACACCAAATTGCATGTCGTGTTCTTCTTGACTAAGCATTTCATTGCACCGAGGGACCAGTTCGGCGCGCAACGACCGGGGGGGGCAACTGAGGGGGGGAACATCGACATGGAATCGGCCACCTCTCCCCGACTGATCGGCGATAGGCCCCCGATACCGGATCCGCATGGCCCATGGCGGGGTGGGCTGACCGGGCCCCTCTCGACGATCAGTGGGCCGGTCGGGCGCCGATGGGGCTCCCTGAGCCCATCGCGCCCCCCTTCCCGAATAACGAAAAAGCGCAGTAAACATAAGCTTTTGGCGCTACGCGCGGATCTCTTGGATCCGCGTTGGGGCACCCTGGCGGCCGGATCCAAGAGATCCGCGCGGAACGCAAAACATATTGTGTTTTTTCTTCTTCCAGTTTGGAGATCGGCGGGCCCCCCGCTGAGCCCATCGCGCCCCCCTTTCCCGAGGGTGGGTGGCGGCGGCACCCCGCGCGTGGCCGGCAGCAGCGGCGCGCGCGGTGGCGGCGCGCGAGGAGCCCAGAGGACCGGGGGCGGCTCGAGCGGCTCAGGAGCCGCGCCCGCGGGGCGCCCCCGCGGGGCTCTTCCGCCGGGCTCGATGTCGCGCCATGCCTCGGTGTGCCGCGGAGCGCATCGCCGATGCGTCTCGATGTGGTGCCCGAGTTGTTTCGCGCCGGCGTCGCCGATGCATCGCCCACGTCAACCATGCATCGCTGGTGCATATGTGACGCATCATCGCCGATGCAACGGGATTGGGTTTTGGAGCCAGCTTCGAAGAACTAAAAAGGCCGTAAACATAAACTTTTGGCGCTCCGCGCGGATTTCGTGGATCCGCGCTGGGCCCCTCCCGGCGGCGCCGCCCCTGGCGCGTTCCGCGCGCCGGGGAGGGGGGTCCAGCGAGGATCGAAGAAATCCGCGCGGAACACCAAAAGTGCCATGTTTATGGCGCTTATTTTTGTTCCTAACACGGATGAGGAGGCAACGGGATGGGGTGTTGGAACCAGCTGGGGGTATCAGGTGGCCCTGCGCTGGTTTCGGCCAGCAGAAACGGGTGTGGTTCGGGGCTCTGGGTTCGGCAATTTTTTGCGTCTTGGTGCCTTTGGATCCTGGGATCGTCGCACACGGAGCTGGTATGACAAATTTCACCAAATACACCCCCGGAGAGGTTTTGGGACTGAATTTGTTCGTATTTGCCACAGCCCCCTCTTTCTTGACCGAGTCTCTGGGGGGCCCATCCAATGCAGAACTCCCAGCCGCCCCCAAGATGGGGGGTGTTTTGAGTGGATGCCAGGCCGCGTTGGGCGAAAGGAGGGATCGGGCAAGGGGGGAGGGTACGAACTCTGCTCCATGAAACTGCCCCGCCGCCAGGGACGTTCAGCGACCCCCCCCCCATTCACAGCAAATGTGATCCATTGATGAGCCAGGTCGCGCCAGGTAGAACCCACCTTTGCAACCTCTTATGATCCCCCCAGGGTCCCCTTAGCCTAGCCACCCCCGAGGTGCTCAAAGTCTTCCTTCTCGTCTTGGAGGGATGTTTTGCAAGCGCTCGCCCTCCGAGTGGGCCTTGGCTGGGCCCGGGGGTCGTGAACGGTTCAGTCCTCGCCGGGCCCACATAATGAACAAAAGCACGATGTCCCAAGTCTGGGGTGCCACCAAGAGAAAGACCACGCCGAAGGAGACGGCAGGTAACATCCTCAAATATCGACGTTCGATGATCGAGGTTCGAAGAGACCTAGCGGCTTGACACACACATGACGGCAGGTTTTTCCCGGACGTGCGAGGCAAGGGCGTGGCGAGTCGTGCTTCCGCGGGCTCTTCTCGCGCGACCGCCCGCGCCCTCCGCGCGCCCCGCGCCAGAACAAATGCAGTGGACACTCGATCGGAGGTGTGGTGAAAAAAAAACAGGACGGCAGGTTTTTGTCAATTCTGGGTCCTCGGAGGCCAGCTTCGGGCCCTGGGACCCTGGGACGATCACGGGGGGACCGTCGAAGCGCGACTCGGCATGGAAAGCCGCTCCTGGGAAGGGTCGAGATGTCCGGGGGGTCGATGCGTATCGACAGAGCTCTCTCCCCCAGATCTGGAGTCGAGGAATGGAGTCGCTGGTTTATCCGTAAGGGCTTCGCCCCCGTGCCGCCGGCCCCCCTCTCTTAGGACGGGGCTTGCCAGAGCTGTGTTGGAATGTCTGGCCGCTGACGTGAAGCAATGTCGGGACTACGAGGGTTTATGGCTTCGGTGGCGCGAGCATGAGGTAATTTACGCTGGTGTATGGCTTCGGGGACGCGAATATTGTGTATTTTAAAAGGTTTGTGGCCTCGGGGACGCACATATTGTGTAAATTACGAAGGTGTATCGCCTCGGGGGCGCAACCATTGTATAATGTTCGAGGGTTTACGGCCTCGGGGACCCGAATTTGTTGTAATTTGTGAAGGTTTGTTGTCTCGGGGGCGCAAGCACGGCGAATCTTAGTACAAGGAATTATGGCTTTGGGGACGCGAATATGGTCTAATTTTCGAAGGTATATTTTTTCGGGGGGCGAATGTCATGTAATGTACAAGGGTTTATGGTCTCGGGGGCGCGAGCCTTGTGTACTTTACGAGGGTTGATGGCTTCGGGGACGCGAATATTGTGTAAATTGCCAGGGAGTATGGCTTCGGGGACGCGAATGTTGATATGTTACTAGTGTTTATGGCCTCGGGGACGCGAACATGGCGAAATTTGCCAAGGATAACGGCCTCGGGGACGCGAATACTAAAATTTGCACGTGTCCCACGCCCCCCCAGGAGTTCAGATAACTGCCCAATTCCAGACGCTTCGCGCAACCCCACCAACCCCCGTCATCTTGCGTGCTGCCCCATGCTCGATACGACCCGCTCTCTGGAATCGTCCTTGGAGCCGCAGATCAAAAAAAAGAAGTAACCCCACCAACCCATCTAGAAACGATGCCCAGACAAGTTGCCCTGATCAGGGATGTGGAGGATAATAAAGGGCTGAGTAAGACGTCGTACCCCTAAGAGGGATAGGATGGAGGAGGAATCGGATGAGGAGCAGGTGGAGCAGGAGGAGCGATGAGTCTGGAAAGGGGTAGGACGGAGGCGAAAGGAGGAGGAACAGGCGGATGAGGAAGAGGAGGAGGAGGAGGAGGAGGAACAGGAAAAGGGGGCGAGCAGAAACATGTCAGATGCTTCTATGATGCCTCTCGGAGTCTCGTCGGATTTCTTCCGGGAGCTTCTTGGAATCCTTCTGGGGCCTTCTTGGGGGTCTCTCGGGAGCCCCATTGGGGGCATCGTGGGGGCATCGCGGGGGTCTCTTGGGGCCTTCTGGGCACGCCTTGAGGCCGTCTCGGGGCACTCTTGGGGGCCTCGGTGGCCATATTGGGGCCATCTTGGAAGAGATCGATCAAAGCAGGGGGGGCTCCTTACTTAGGGTCCCCCCCAAAACTATGGCCAACACCTGAGTAACAAGATGTTGGCCTTCTCGCCGAGGCCTTTTGGGGCGTCTTGGCTTCCTCTGGAGGGTCTCCGGTCGGGCGTTTTGGGGGTCTCTTGGGCGCCTCTTGGGGGCATCGCGAGGGCATCGCGGGGGCCTCTCAGGGCCTCCTGGGCACCTCTTGGGGCCGTCTCGGGGCACATACTTGGGAGGGTCAGATTGGAGGAGATCGATCAAAAGAGGGGGGCTCCTTGATGAGGGTCCCCCCCCACAAGAGGCCAAACTGTGACCAATAGCCTAAGTCAGTTCATGCTTTAGGCCTTCACGCCGAGGCGTCTTAGGTGCCTCTGTGGGGCCTCTTAGGGCGTCTTGGGGGTCTCTTGGGAGCCCCTTGAGGGCATCGTGGGGACATCGCGGGGGCCTCTTGGGACCTCCTGGGCACCCCTTAGGGCCACCTTGGAAGAGATCAATCAAAGGACGGGCCGTCGTACATCAGGCCCAACCCCCAGGAGGCCAACATGTGGTCAAAACTTGTTAGTAACATCTATGGTTTTGGCTTTTTCGCCGAGGCCGTTTTGAACGCTCTGACATTTTGCGGCCACCCACCCTCTCCAGACCCAGGGGGAGGGGGTGGGGGGAGGGGTCAAGACGCCCTTCCCGCCTGCAAGCCGTCTCGCTCACTCCCACCCGTCCTCCCAACACATACGCAGCACCCGAGGCTGGCCCGAGCCGCAGCATATTCAGCAGTCGTCTTTGGATGGGCAGCTACTGGGCGCGAATCCGCCGCCGCCGCCGCCGCCTCGGCCGCCGCCGCCGCCGCCCGCCGCCGCCGCCGCCGCCGCCGCCGCCGCCGCCGCCGCCGCTGTCTGCCGCCGCCGCCGCTGTCCGCCGCCGCCGCCGCCGCGCCGCCGCCGCCCCCTGCCGAATCGCCGCCGCTGCTGCCGCCACCGGTGCTGTGTCGCCACCGCCGCCACCGCCGCCATCGCCGCCGCCCCCGCCGCCGCCGCCGCCGCCGCCACCGCCGCCGCCACCGCCGCAGCCGCCGGAGCCGCTGCCCCCGCCGCAGCCGCCGCAGCCGCCGCCGCCGCCAAGTGTATTCTGCATTGTTTTTTCCCAACCATCCTGTGGTGTTGGGTCCTCGTTTTGAAGAGAAGGTGCCCTGCGTCTCTCCTTCCTTCCTTCCTCCTCCCCCTCCTCACTCCTCCCTCCTCCCTCCCAGGGCAGCGCTTCGTGGCCCCATAGGGAGCTCCACCGAAGGCCCCACTGGCGGTGTTCACATGCGGTTCCCCCAGCCAGGGCAGCGCTTCGTGGCCCCATAGGGAGCTCCACCGAAGGCCCCACTGGGGGCGTTCGCATGCGGTTCCCCCACCCAGGGCAGCGCTTCGTGGCCCCATGTGGAGCTCCACCGAAGGCCCCAGTGGTTGCTCTCGCATGCGGTTCCCCCACCCAGGACAGCGCTTCGTGGCCCCATAGGGAGCTCCACCGAAGGCCCCAGTGGGCGTGCTCGCATGCGGTTCCCCCACCCAGGGCAGCGCTTCGTGGCCCCATGTGGAGCTCCACCGAAGGCCCCAGTGGTTGCTCTCGCATGCGGTTCCCCCACCCAGGGCAGCGTTTCGTGGCCCCATAGGGAGCTCCACCGAAGGCCCCAGTGGTTGCTTTCGCATGCGGTTCCCCCTCCCAAGGCAACGTTTCGTGACCCCATAGGGAGCCCCACCGAAAGCGGCACCCACAACGCGTTGCGAACAATTGCTTATGCTTGGATTCTTCGCCAGGATAATTTGATGGTGGGGGGAGGCCGCATCGGGTTCGCTGCGCATGCTCCGAATTCGGAGGCAGAGTGTGTGTCTGTATTTTTTACAAGGGATGGTGGGGGGGGTGCCCTCATTGACTCGGGTTGGCTCGCAGTCGCCTGGGGGAGGGGGTGTATATTAGGTAACCATGGTCAAGCTACCCTCCTAGGTAGCAGACCGTCTAGCTCACTCCCACCCGCCCCCCCAACACACAAGTAACACCCGGGTGTGAGCATATCGCTTAGGAACGCCACACAAAACATGCTCGCCACGGGTTCCAGGTGCACCAGGCACCCTGGAGGCCCAAGCGGGCAAGGTGCGGCACATGCCCCACG